ACACACACACACACACACACACATATATATATATATTTAATTTTTTTAAAGTTATTTTAGTATTTTAACTATTGCAAAAGTAGCCCTCAAACTGAATATTTCCGAGTGTCAGATTCCGTTTTGTGATAAACTCTTATATTAATGACGTGGCAGATGGAATGGGATAAGTGTCATGAAAATAAGTTATATGAAACTAATCCTAGTGTAAGAAATTTCGTGAAACATATTTGATTGGATTGTACTGTTTTTAATGTAAATAGACAACGGTTTTATTCAGAGGTGTGTCTAACTGATTTATTTAAAAATCTATCGCCTGAATGTATTTTAGAATTTTTGTGTCTTTTATAACCTTTTGTTAATTGTATACCTTGTATAATTTATTCAGAGATTGCCATGAAAATAGCCTTGATGCATTGCTGGCAATGTGTTAAAAAGTGAATAAATAATAATAAAATTTAGTACTTTAACTTAAATTAAATAGAAATGAGAAATGTTACCTTGGCAACTAACTTAAAATAAGTTTAATTTTTGGGGGATTTTATTTCATTTTATGTTTATTTTATTTCAAATTAAAATTATAATTTTTTTTAAAATGTTTTGGTTTTAGTTTTAGGTAAACACACACACTGCATGATTGGAATGCAATATTTCCTGCTGCTACTTTTTTTAGAATTTAGAATTTCCTGTATGCAATCTTGAATATTGGATTGGAATACTGTATGGAATATGGAATACAGTGCAGTATAGAACTGAAGCGCACTGCATGGAATACAGTATCCCTAATATATCACATATATGTGTGGCGTGTTTAAAATGGCTCTCTGTCGTCCCCTCAGTCGACCAGCGGCTGGTGTTTGAAGACTCCAACACATATTATCAGTTCTCGTTCGAGGAGTGTGATGCTCAGGGCTGTGAATTTCGCAGCGAGGAGGAATGGCAGAGCGGTGTCCGTCTTCTGCTGCAGCTCGTGCCCTACGTTCAGTTCAGGGTTGTCAGCCCGTAAGTACTGTACAAACATGCATGTTATATGCCACACACACACACACACACACATATATATATATATATATGCACACATATTTATTTATTAAGATTTATATTTATATAGTAGAATATTAGTATTAGTGTTCACATTATTTAAAGCAGTAGTATGCATATGTAGTATGTAGTATATACTGTGCAGTGCACTAGTTTCCATCATTTTCTTTCATGCATCCGTCTGTTTGATCTGAATGCAGCAGGAAACCGATTGTTCTCGTGACCTTTTGCTTAGGTTTTCCCCTGTTAATCCTGTTAAACCACAAATCATCCTCATGGAAGAAGGATATGTGTGTGTGTGTGTGTGTGCATTTAGCATCATGTATGAGCTTTAGATCGGTATGTCTTTTTCAAATAGATGCACAATAATCTTTGCTGATCATGTTTTTGATCATTTATTTGAGGTTATTCACTAACATTCAAAAAGTCTGGGGTCGGTAAGATTTAAAAAAAAAATTGTATTGCTCATTTAATTTAATGCTTTTGTTCATCAAGGACGCATTAAGTTATTCACTAACATTCAAAAAGTCTGGGGTCGGTAAGATTTAAAAAAAAAAATTGTATTGCTCATTTAATTTAATGCTTTTGTTCATCAAGGACGCATTAAATTGATGAAAAGTGACAGAAATATTTTGTAACATTATAAAATGTATTTACTATTTCAAATAAATGTACTTCTTTTGAACTTTCTATTAACCTGTGAATCCTGAAAAATAAAATGCACAAAAATATTGTGCAGCACGACTGTTTTCAACATTGATAATAATCAGAAATGTTTCTTGAGCAGCAAATCAGTATATTAGAATGATTTCTGAAGATCATGTGACACTGAAGACTGGAGTAATGATGCTGGAAATTCAGCTTTATATTCACATAGAAAACAGTTTTTACTGCATTTTTGATCAAATAAATGCAGCCTCGGTGAGCAGAAGAGACTCGAACCAACCCCAAAGTTTTGAGCGGTAGTGTATTTCTGGATCACAGTAGGGTTTCCACATGGGTAATTCTTTTATTTACGTGATTTAAGTAAGTGGTCACTATTTCCAAATCCCCTAAAAATCCTAAAAATATCTCCTAAATGTCTCCACACCTCCTAAAATTGTCCATATGACTTTAAAAAAACAATAGTTTTGGGAAGTGTTTTTTTTTCTTCCCTTTTAAGCGCCATTATATTAAGCAGAAATATATGCATTTTTGTATTTGCATGTTTTCCAATTGTTCATGAGCCAATTCTAACAAAACATTTGTGGGTCACTGAGTCGAGCTCGATTGGATTGAACTAAACTATGTGTAGATTACAGCATTTGATTGGCTTAGACGTGTCTTGGGTGCAGACGATGAGATTGAGAAGGCAATACTTCGGGCTGTTTTGTTAGCGCAGAGAGATGTGAACCGCCAGATTAAATCTGTCCGGACAGTTGATGTCATTTTCAGGAAGGTGAACATGTGACGGCGTTGCTCGTCCACGCCAGCAGTTTTTTTCCTCCCTGACGGAATTGGAAGTGACATGGTTTGCTGTTGGATGAGCCGCGCTCCGACCCAATCAGCCAGATTCCCTTCGCCTGCGCCTTTCTCATCACAGACCGGAGCGCATTACAGCAGAAACCAGATCCTCGCGCACAAGCCAGCCAAATGAGATCAAACGAAAAACTCACACGAGTTTGCTGATATTACCGCGCTGCAATACCCTCACGGCGGGAGAAATGATAACGCACCCGAGTTTTGACCTTGCATTTTCAATTGAATGTGATGAGATAACAGACAATGCGTCTTTCTATTGCGCTGCATGCAAAAAACAAACAGTCCGATTTATAAATGTCGCCAAAAAAGACTTTAGAATTGAAATCAGCCTTTGATTGTAGATGTTGAATGGTGGTTATTTAGAAATCCTGGGCTATGACATCATATCCTGTTGGCCATACAGTATGTGTTGCGTCAGACAGACATTGATTGACAATAAAGGCCACATTTGTTGGTAATCTTTGTCTATCAAAATGAAAAAATAAATAAAAAATCCTTTTGAATGGTTGTGTTGTTACAGTGTTTACCAGCTGGCAGGACTGGTTAGGGCTTGTTATGGGAAGAACAATTCTGTAGAAACAGTTTGATATCGACACTGAAGTGAAAGTGACCTTTATTATATTAGAGTAAATCATGCGACATGTGAAAGATGGTAAAATGAGTCTGAATTTTGTTACTGCTGTATTTGTGCTTGTGTGTGTGTGTGTGGTTTTATAAAGGACAAAACCTGCAGAATATAATAAATAAATAAATGTAATAATAGGAAAATAAATAAAGGAATAAATGATTTCCTAAAACAAACAAAATACATTTTTTATTAAATTTATTTAGCCCTGAATTAATTTTTGTATTACTTTCCCTCCTTAATTCTTTTATTTTTAACTGTATTTTTAATTGTTCATTTATGCTTTTATTATATTTATATTAATGTGTTTATTTATTTTTATATTTATTAATTCCCACTAGTATTTATTTCCATATTACAAATAAATAAAGAAAATGAATGAAAGGAAGTCTAAAATATAAAGTTAAAAGAATAAACATCAAGTTAAAAATAAATATGGAAAATAAGTAATAAAGGTAAAAAAAAAAAAATACAAAAATAATTTAGGAATAAATGTCATTAAAAATTAACTGTATTTGTTTTATCAAGTCATTTATTCCTTTATTTATTTTCCTATTATTACATGTATTTATTTTTTTATTTGCTCATTTATGTTTTAATTATTTTTATGTACATATTTATTCCCACATGTATTTATTTCCGTATTACAAATAAATAACAAATAAATAAGTACAACCAATATAGAAAATAATTAATAAAGGAAAACTAAATGAATTTAGGACAAAAGTGAATTAAAAATGACTTTTGTATTTGTTTTAAGTAATTTATTCCTTCATTTATTTTCCTATTATGACATTTGTTTATTTTTTTATTTGTGTATTTTGTTTTTATTATTTTTATATTTATACATTCATTTATTTTTATATTTATATATTCCTGCATGTATTTTGTTTCCATACTACAAATTAATATACAAATAAAAACAAAATAAATGAAAAAATAAAAAGTTAGATAACATAAAGAATAAATATAAATTATACATAATTACAATTTGAATTAAATTTTAAATGTAGGTAAAATTAAAAATAAATATAAATACAGAAAATAATAAAGGAAAAAGTAATACAAAAATAATTTTAGGACTAAATTTAATTAAAGTGAATTGTTTTTAAGTCTTTATTGTATTTAAGTCTAATTGTCTGTAAGTCTTTATTTGATGATTTATTGGTAATTTCTGCAGGTTTTCTGTTGTGTGGATGTGATTGTGCGTTCTGTTGGTTTACGTTGTGCTGGTCGTGACCGTCTCTTCGGCAGAAACCCCTGGAGCTACAGGAGTGACGCTTTTAGCCAGGATTGTTTGGATACTGCCTCGCTTTCAGCCACCTACACACACACACACACACAGACACACACACACACACACACACACACACACACACACACACACACACACACACACGCACACACACACACACACACACAGACACAGACACACACAGACACACACACACACACGCACGCACGCACGCACACACACACACACACACACAGACACAGACACACACAGACACACACACACACACGCACGCACGCACACACACAGACACACACACCTCGCGCTGCACGCCTCATTTGCATGTTATTTGAATTTTATCTTCAGCTCTGTGAAACTAGTAATGCATGTGTGCAGAATGAGCGTACATTTGCGTATGTGTGTGCGTTTATGTCTTCATTTGCCTGCCCCTGTGTGTGTGTGTGTGTGTGAATTGCAATCTCGTGCAATCGTGCCTGATTCGTTTAGAAGTGGCCGCCATTGCGAATCACTTCAGCCGCGGTGTCTGGAGCAGGAGAGATGCTGTGATGAATGGAGAAGAGAGAAACTTTGGCCCAGTTTGAGCCGTGTGAGAGCCTTTATTCTGCTCATGTTGAGGTTTATACCTGCACAATCCGCGCTACACTCTTAAAAATGAGAAGATAAAATCCCCAGGGAATCATATAGATTCGTAAAGAACATTTTTTATTTTGTAATTTTTTTAGAAAATATTCTGGTGCTTTAAAGAACCACAAACAATGATTTTTTTTAAAGCAAATATTGCATTTATTTATTCATTTATTTTGTATATACATTTTTATTTGAAAAACAATTTCATAAAAATGATTTTGTAAATATTATTATTATATTGTTTCTAACAAAAATGTATGTACAAAATAATTGAATAAATAAATACAAGTGTTTGGGGTTCATTAAAGCACCAGAATATTTAAAAAAGTAATATAATATATTATATAAACACTGTTTAGTTTAGTTTATTTACTTATTAATTCATTTATTCATCTATTTATTGTATACACATCTTTAATTAAAAAAAATATATAATAAATAGGATTTTGTAAATATTATTTTTATTTTATTTTATTTTTACATTTTTTATTAATTAATTTACATTTTATTTTAAAACGACTAATTTTGGTATTTTTCGATTTGTTCAGCTAATTATGAAAAATATTTTAAATAATAAAATATTATAATACAATGCATGCTAAAAAAGGAAAATTAATATATTTAATAAAAATAAATTTGTAAATATAAAAAAATATAAAAATTTGTTTAATTTCATTTTTATTATTAAATATGATTGCGTAACAATTTTTTCTAGTTGTTCAGCTAGTTGCGAAAAATATTTTAAATATATAATGTAATATAATATAATATAATATAATAACGCACAATTTATCGTATACACAGAATATTTAAAAAAGTAATATAATATATTATATAAACACTGTTTAGTTTAGTTTATTTACTTATTAATTCATTTATTCATCTATTTATTGTATACACATCTTTAATTAAAAAAAATATATAATATTTATTTATTTTTTATTAATGTTTTTTTATTTTATTTTAAAACTACTAATTTTGGTATTTTTCTATTTGTTCAGCTAGTTATGAAAAATATTTTAAATAATAAAATATTATAATACAATGCATGCTAAAAAAGGAAAATGAATTTTATTTCATTTCATTTTTATTATTAAATATGATTGCGTAACACTATTTTTTCTAGTTGTTCAGCTAGTTAAATTAAAGATGTGTAAATATGTAATATAATATAATATAATATAATACAATACAATATAATAATGCACAACGAACTGTCTAATTTTTTTTTTCAATTCTTTAGGAAAATGTTCTGGTGCTTTAATGAAACCAAAACACTGATCTGAAGAAACTATTGTGAAATAAATATATATTTTTAGTAATGCAAGAACCCTATGCAGCCAAAAAAGGAGTTTTGTTTTAGAGAGTGCAAGTGTGCCGTGGGGTTGTGTTCATAACAATATCTTATTTTTGCCTGCATTTTGTCCAACAGACCTTGTGGATTAATCTTTATATACTTCATGTGAAGGCAGAGTTTGATGTTGCTCATGTAATGCAGTGCACCAGCAGCAGGAGGCAGCAGAGAGACGAGGGCTGTAGATTGTGTAGCTGTGTGTGAGTGTGCATAACACCATACTGCCATACTATTTTTTTTCAGTATGCAGTATATATACTGTGCAGTGTGTGTGCATTTTCTATCTGAATGGAGGACCATAGACAAAGCATACAACACCTGCGTGAGATACTGCATCCCACAATGCACTGCACTTCACTTCACCTTCTGTTTCCAGAGCAACAAGAGAAGCAATACCAACCACATTTTCTGAAACATCTCTTTCCTGATTCATTATATGATTTATAGACAAATGTTTAGACACTTTTACACAAGTGGATTAAAATGCAATTTCTGTGCAGTGTTATTTTAGTATTATCTATATACTAATAATGTCTTTATCAATATTTTGATTTAGCTTTTATTTTGATATTCAGTTTTAAGTTTAATGTTAGTTACATTTCTAGTAGTTTTGTTATGTGCTTTTTTAAATTTACTATTTAGGTTTAATTTTATTTTATTTCAGTTTTAGTTTAGTTTTAGTTTTTATTTGTTTTATTTACAGTTAACCATTTTAATGCTTCAACTTAACAACTAAACTAAATGTTGCTTTGGCAATATCTAAAGTAAGTTTCTATTAATATTATAATATATTATAGTTTTTTAATAATAATTTTTATTACGTTTTTTATGAACTATTATAGTTTTTATTAAGATTTTGAATTAATTTTTTATTCATATTTATATACTTTCCATTTTTTGTTTTAATTTTAGTTACATGTTTAGTAATTTTATGTGCTTTTTCATTTTTATTACTATGTAACTATTACTGTTTATTTATTTATTTATTTAAGTTTTAGTTTATTTTAATTTTTTACTTATTTTATTTATAGTTATTTACAGTAATTTTAGTGCTTCAACATGAACTAAAATGAAAATTAGAAATGTTGTCTTGGGAACTAACCGAAATAAGTTTTTTTATAAACGATTTTTAATAATATTTTGAATAAGTATTTATTCATATTTCGTCTTTTTAGGCTTTAAGTTTTGATTTAAATTTTCATAAAAATTTTTGTAAATTTGTTTTGTGCTTTTGTCATTTTTATTAGTTTATTATTATTATTATTAATTAACTAACTAATTAATTATTACTGTTTTAGTTTTTCTTTATTTTATTTCCAGTTAGACATTTTAGTGCTTCAACTTAAACTAAACGGAAATTAGAAATGTTTAATTTTTGTATTGGCAAGTTTAAGTTTTCCATCTAATGTTTATAAATTATACTGCAGCTTTATTTCAGTGAACGGAAATAGTTTTAGTTAATGATAATAACTCTCTGAATTTACATGTTATGATATTATCATGGAAATTGCTGAGTATACTGTCTATACTGCTCAGTATGTAGTACACTAGCATTCATAGGTAGTGCACTAGTGTTTTTGTCCCAAAAGGTGCTTTAAGTTCTTGCTGTCCTCCTCCAAGTCCACTGACGAGATAATTCTGCTTATACTGTCACAAGTAATCCACATTAGAGCATACTTGACCCAAGTGTGCATCAAGGGTGCATCAGCAACCTGAACTGACACTCTAGTGCACATCAAGTGCACCATTTGAGACAGAGCCGACTCTGAACATGACATCCGCTGCTTATCTAACACAGAGGTCGGCTCACGCGAGAGAGGCGTTTAATCACGTGTGTGTGTGTGTGTGTGTGTGTGTTTTCTCTCCCGCAGACCCGAGGAAGACCCGGATAGAAAGCGTGATATCTGCAGTGAGATCCTGCAGATGAAGGCTCTGGAGAGACTCACGTCCACGGTAAGCGTCCGCTGATCCCTGAATGTGTGTCTTTAGTCCTCTGGTGTGTGTAAAGATCCACTGCAGACTCAAAGAGTCTCATCCATCACACACACTCGCACACGCACACGCACACACAGGCACACTCACTCACTCACTCACTCACTCACACACACACATATATAATATAATATAATATAATATATAATATTTTAATAAAATGTAGTAATATTTGAAACAAATATATTGAAATAAATATATTAGCTACAAATTGATTATGGTTTATGGACCCTTTTCACGTTTCCAGGTTTCTCAGCAGCGGAAGTCGTCATAGTTGGGTAAACTTGAATAGCAGTGAATGGGAGAGTACCACAAATATATTTTTTGCATTCCCAGTTGGTCAAATAGCAAAAGAAAAACTCCACGATAGTGTTTTCATGACTTTCAATAAAAGGAAAAAAATTGAGAGAGGTTGATAACAGCTGTCAGAAGAGAGAACGATGTCAAATTTACTGTCCCTCCCACAGACGTAGCATTAGAAACACCCTCGCATTAGCGTTAACTAGTTTTTTGTAATTTGATGCAAAGGTGATATAATACAAAGAATAGTGTTATAAATGTACATACATTTTTTTAAAAATACAAATATGAAAAAATTTCGAGGATTTACAAAGCTGATGACCGCCATCACAGCCTTGTGAAAAGGGTCCTTCAATTAATTAATTACTGTACTCATCTAATTAATCTGTGTTGTTAGTCTTTAATGGAAATTACTAATGATGAGGAAAATGACTAGTTTTAGTTTCTTTTTCATTACTTTTTCTCATTGTTTTTCACTATCTATGTTTGCTTTTTATTTTAAATTTCTATTTGAATATAATTTTTAATGTGCAAAATTTTTGACCTAATTTGCATATAATACGTCTGTCCCTTTCTTAAAAAAAAAAAAATAATAATTTGAAAATGTTCAATGATGAAATACAAAAGAGAGCTTTTCGATTATTTTTTATGCCAGAAAATTAAATAAATAAATAAAATTAAACGTTATAGATAGATAGATAGATAGATAGATTTCTAGGTGTGTTCAGATAGTATGTACGTGTAAACAAATATAATAAAATATAATATATTATATAAAATAAATAAGTGCTGTCAAAAGATTAATCGCATCCAAAATAAAAGTTTTTGTTTACATAATATATATATGTGTGTACTGTGTATATTTATTATGTATATACAAATACACACACATACAGTATATATTTAGAAAATATTTACATATTTATATTCATATAATTTATATTATATATAAATATATTTAATATGTAAACATAAAATGTTTTTCTTAAACATATACATGCATGTGTGTCTATTTATATATGCATAATAAATATACACAGTACTATCAGTATAACTGATTACTGATTATGTCATTATTAAATAAATAAAAATAATAATATGTGTTATGTATTACCCCTGAAACATAATGCATTACCCTGTAAATCAGCCTGATTATTAGCTGCATCGCTGGAACAATACATGTCAAATAAACACAGATGCTCAGCTTTGATAGTCTATGCTGAGTTCTGATGATTCCTGGTGATATAGGTTACATGTCTAGCTGGTATCTGAGTGTTGAGTCAGTGTTCATCTCCACACAGCTGTCCTCCTCCAGTATCCCATGAGCCCCTGCTGTCTGCTGTCTTTGCTCTAGAGGTCCTCTGATGAGCTCTTCTGCATGCAGAATGAACTAAAGACACTGTGCTCTTGTGCTTTCACTGGAGTCCATTCAGAAACGGTGTGTGTGTTTTTACCTCAGGTGCAGAATGAACTCGCTGCTGCTCTCGCCAGGAAAGCCAAGAAGTCAAGTAAGATGCTTTTATACTTATAGCGGTCATATCAAACCATGTTTCTTCACTTAGTCAAGGTGTTTTTGCAACAGAACAACCATAATTGATTTATTTTTGATTTCACTGGTAATTGTCTGTGCACTTGTCATTTTTACTCTAGTGTCAGAAGACGAAAGCTCGGAGGCATCAGACGCTTCTCCTCAAGAACCGCAGAAGCCCACTGAAGACAGAAGCAAGGTAAACACACACAAATACATCTGACTTACTCTCAAAGATGCACTCCATACATTTATTCCTCATTCAAATATTTTACTCCTAAAGAAATAAAAGGCATGTTTTTTTTTTTATTTGTTTGTTTATTTATCTAAAAGTTTTTTTTGGGACGTTTTGCCTTTATATAAAATAAATTTAGCTCAAATATATATTTAAAATAAATAAAAATTACTTGTTTGTTTGTTTTGTTAGGTAAATGTAGCCAAAATAAATATTTTAAATATATTTTAAAAATAAATTATTTTATTTTGTTTTATTTTATTTTATTTTAAAAGTTTATTCTGACTATTTCACCTTTATTTGGATCTAATAAATGTAGCCCAAAATAAATGTTTAAAATATATATTAAAAATAATTTATTTTATTTTATTTTATTTTATTTTATTTTATTTTATTTTATTTTATTTTATTTTGTTTTGTTTTGTTTTGTTTTGATCTAATAAATGTAGCCCAAAATAATTATTTAAAACAAACAAATTAATAAATAACCCTACATTTATTTCCTTCTATCATCACTTTAAATCTATTTTTAAAAAAGTACCTTTTATTTCTTTAGCTATTATTAGGCTACTTATTTCATCACTTTAAACATATTTAACACAGTATATCTTTGTCTTTATTTTTATGATTCTGTTTGATAAACGTTATAAAAATTGCTCACAGTGGCTTTAACTACACTTTTTTCCAAACACCACCAATGATAACGTCTCTTGGTGGCCATTTTTACCTCACTTCCATAAAGCCTCAGTTATATTCTGATATTTTTGCATATTAAAATGTAGCTTGATCAGTGATATGGTGACTATGAATTACACTAGTTATGCAGCATGCTTCAGTTTAACATGCTAACATATATAATACAGCAGGCAGGAAGTAAACCAACACACGTGTTACAACATGCCAAATGTCATAAATAAAAGGCAATGGGCAGACAAATGGACAGCAACATTAATAATGTAATACATTTTCTCATAAAAAAATACATAAGGGAAATTGTGTAGATGGTCATTATCGTCAAAAAAAAAAAACTGATGTGAAGTGGCTACTTGGCAAATAAATAAATGGACATGAAATACAGTGGGTACGGAAAGTATTCAGACCCCCTTAAATTTTTCACTCTTTGTTATATTGCAGCCATTTGCTAAAATCATTTAAGTTAATTTTTTTTCCTCATTAATGTACACACAGCACCCCATATTGACAGAAAAATTTTTTAATAAATCTGCAAAGATGTCAACAATTCTGTGTTTTTCTGTCAATATGGGGTGCTGTGTGTACATTAATGAGGAAAAAAAATTAACTTAAATGATTTTAGCAAATGGCTGCAATATAACAAAGAGTGAAAAATTTAAGGGGGTCTGAATACTTTCCGTACCCACTGTATTTTTCGGAGTTTAAATTATTATTATTTTTTCATGAACTTGTAAAACTATACTATTTGACTGCAAAAAAAGAAACAAAAAACATTTTGAATAATTAAGCTTTTTATGTTTTTGAAAGAAGTCTCTTATTTATGTGATGAAAAATACAGTAATGCTGTGAAATATTATTACAATTACAAAATAATCGTTTTCTATTTTAATTTGATATCAGTATATTATACTGATTTCTGAAGGATCATGTGACACTGAAGACTGGAGTAATGATGCTGAAAATTCAGATTTGATCACAGAAATAAATTACAGTTTAACAGATATTCACACAGAAAACAGTCATTTGAAATCGTAAAAATATTTCACAATAATACTGTTTTTACTGTATTTTTAATCAAATAAATGCAGCCTTGGTGAGCATAAGA